TTTTACACAGTAACAGCAATATTGTAATAATGGTCAACTTCATTATTCTGGTCAATACAATGATCCATGACAATACCAAACTACTCATGATGAAAAATACCATTCACTTCCAAAGAGAGAACTGATGAATTCTGAGTGCCAATGGAAAAATGTTTTCTTTTCCTTTATTTTTTGCATTTTTTTCTTTTGCCATGTGGCTAAGGTGAAAATATGTTTTGCATTAATTCCTATGTTTAACAGGTATCATATTTCTTGCCTTCTCAATTGGTGTGGGAGGGGATGGAAGGAGAGAGGCAACTTGGAACTGAAAATAACTTTTAAAAATAAATTTGACTTGATTTTAATATAAAAAATAAAACAGATCAAGGAGAGATAATTTAAGAATTATTGGAAAACCATGATCAAAAAAAGAATGTAGACATCATATTTCAAGAAATTATAAAGGAAAACTGCTCAAATATCTTAGGATCAAAGGGTAAAATGGAAATTGAAAGAATACACCAAGCACCCCCTAAAAGAGATCCCAAAATATAAACTCCCAGGAATATTGTAGATAAATTCCAAAACTCTCAGGTCAAAGAGAAAATACTTCAAGCAATCAGAAAGAAACCATTCAAATGCCATGGAACCACAGTCAAGATCACATAACATTTAGCAGCTACCACATTAAAGGAATGGAGGTCTTAGAATATGAAATTCTGGAAAGCAAAGAAGCTGGGATTACAACCAAGAATAACCCATCTCCCAAAATTGAATATAATCTACTTTGGGGGGGGGGAATAGATATTTAATGAAATGGAAGACTTTCAAGCACTCCTGATGAAAAGCCAGAGCTGAATGGGAAATTTTACATTTAAACATAAAACTCAAGAGAAGCATAAAAGGGTAAACATGAAAGAGAAATCATAAGGCAAGGTTAATCTGTTAACATTCCTATGTGGGAAGAAATCCTATAACTCCTAAGAACTTTATCATCATGAGATGAGTTAAGAGTCTCCATAGACAGAGGGCACATGCATTGAGATCATCTCAAAAAAAATGGAGGGGTGAAAAAGAGGGATTCACTGGAAGAAGAGAGAAGAGGGAGGAAGAAAGGGGGAAATTATTTCACATAAAAGAAACATGCAAGAGCTTTTACAGTGGAGGGGAAAATGTGAGGAGAATAGTCAATGCTTGAATCTCACTCATCTGAACTGGTTCAAAGAGGGAAGAACACACAACACACACACACACACACACACACACACACACACACACATTCATTTTGTGATAGAAATCTATCTTACCCAACAGGGAAGTAGAAAGAGAAAGGAATAAGAAAGGGGAGGGTGATCAGAAAAAGTGGAGGCAGTGTTCAGAAGGAAAACAGACTTTTGCAGAGGGATAGGATAAACAGAGAGAGAAAAGGATAAACAGAAGAAAATAGGATGAAAGGAAATACATAGTCATTAATCATAACTGAATATGAATGGGATTAATTAATTATTAGGAAAAATAGGTAGGGAAGGAGTCCTACCAAATTCCTTTTATAACACAAATATTATTTTGGTACCCAAACCAAGGAGAGCAAAAACAGAAAAAAAAAAACCCTATAGGCCAATTTCTCTAATCAATACTGAATCAAAAATATTAAATAAAATACGAGCAAGGAATTTACAGCAATGTATCAAAAGGATCATACATTATAATCAGGTGGGATTTATACCAGGAATGCAAAGCTAGTTCAATATTAAGAAAACTATCAGCATAATTGACCATTGTTAATAACAGAAACAACAAAAATCATATGGTTATCTCAAAAGATACAGAAAAGGCTTTTGACAAAATACCCAGCCATTCCTATTAAGAACACTAGAAAGCATAGGAATAAATGGAGCCTTTCTTGAAATGATAAGTAATATCTATCTAAAACCAAGAGCAATCATTATCTGTAATAAACAAGGTCTTCCCAATAAGATCAGAGTTGAAGCAAGGATCTCCATTATCACCATTATTCAAAATTGGTTAGAAATACTAGTTACAACTATGAGACAAGAAAAAGAAATTGAAGGAATAAGAATAGGCAATGAGGAAACAAAATTATCACTCTTTGCAGATGATATGATGGTATATTTAGAGAACCCTAGAGAATCAATTAAAAACTAGTTGAAACAATTAACAACTTCAGTAAAGTTGCAGGATATAAAATAAACCCACATAAATCAGCATTTCCATGTATTGCCAACAAAACACAGCAGGAAGAGATAGAGAAAGTCCATTTAATACAACTGCAGACATTATAAACTACTTGGGAGTCTACCTGCCAAGACAAACCCAGGGACTTTATGAATACAAAACACTTTCCACATAAATAAAGACAGATCTAAACAATTGGATAAATATTAATTGCTCATGGATAGGCTGAGCCAGTATAATAAAAATTATAATTCCATCTAAATTAATTTATTATATTCAGTGCCAAACCAATCAAACTACCAAAATGAAAACAAAATTCTTCTGGAAGAACAAAAGGTCAAGAATATCAAGGGAATCAATAAAAAAAGAAGTGTGGAAAGACAGTGGCCTTACAACACCAGGTTTCAAACTATATTCAAAGCAGTAATCACCAAAACAATCTGGTACTGGCTAAGAAATAGAGTGGTAGATCAGTTGACTAGATTAGATACACAATATACAGTAGTAAATGACCATAGTAATCTAGTATTTGATAAACCCAAAGATCCAAGCTTTTTGGACAAGAACTTAACATTTGACAAAAAGTGCTGGGAAAACTGCAAAGCAGTTTGGCAGAAACGAGGCATAGACCAACATCTCACACTGAATATCAAGATAAAGTCAAAATGGGTACATGATTTGGACATAAAAGGTGATGTCATAAGTAAATTAGGTAAGCATGGAAAAAATTTACCTATTAGGTCTATGGACAAGGGAAGAGTTTATGACCAAACAAGAAATAGAGAAGATCACAGGAAATAAAATTGATTGTTTTGATTATATGAAATAAAAAAGGTTTTGCCCAAACAAAACCAATTCAGCCAAAATTAGAAGGAAAGCAGAAAGCTGGGGGTGAGGGGGAAATTATAGTAAGTTTCTCTAATAAGTTCTCATTTCTAAAATGTCTAGGGAACTGAGTCAAATTTATAAAAAGAGGAGCCATTCCCCAATTAATAAATGGTCAAGGGATATGAACAGGCAGATTTCAGAGAAAGAAATTAAAGCTATCAAGAGTTACATGAACAAAGACTCTAAATCTCCATTGATTAGAGAAATGCAAATTAACACAACCGAGGTACCAACTCACAACTATCAGATTAGCTAACATGACACAAAAGGAAAATTAGAAATGCTGGAGGTGATGTGGAAAAACTGAGACACTAGTGCACTGTTGGTAGAATTGTGAACTAATCCAACCATTCAGGAGAACAATTTGGAACTATACCTAAAGGGCTATATAATTGTGCATACCCTTTGACTCAGTAATACCACTACTAGATCTGTATCCCAAAGAAATTAAGGATAAAGGAGACGAACCTGTAAGTACAAAAATATTTATAGCAGCTCTTTTTTTTGTGGTGGCAAAGAATTAGAAATTTAAGGTATAATCATCAATTGGGGAATGGCTGAACAAGTTATGGCATATGAATGTGATGGACTACTATTGTGCTATAAGAAATGACCAGTACAGGGGTAGCTAGGTGGCGCAGTGAATAGAGCACTGTCCCTGAAGTCAGGTCAAATCTGGCTTCAGACCAAACACTTGACACTTACTAGCTGTATGACCCTGGGCAAGTCACTTAACCCCAATTGCCTAAAAGGAAAAAAAAAAAAGAAAGAAATGACTAGTACGATGGTTCCAGAAAAACCTGGGAAGACTTATATGAACTGATACAAAGTGAAGTGAGCAGAACCAAGAGATCATTGTAGAAAAAACAATATTGTAATGATGATCAACTATGAAAGACTTAGCTACTCTAATAAATACAGTGAACCCAGAAAATTCCAAAGGACCCATGATGAAAAATGTTATCCACCTCCAGAGAGAGAACTGACAAACTGACTGCAGATTGAAGCATACTTTTTTAAACTTTATTTTTCTTGCTTTTTTTCTATAGCTAATATGGAAATATGTTTTGCATTATTTCACATGTATAATTGATATATTCTTTGCCTTCTCAATGGGTTGGGGAGGGATGGGAGGAAGAAAACTTGGAATTAAAAAAAATTTTAATGTTACAATCTTGTTAACATTTCTCATTCCACTGATTTCCAAATAGCTTCAGAGAATTTAGGTCAAACTGACCTTTTTTCTCTTCTGCTCCTCACTGGGTATCATGTCTCCTATCAGTTGAGGAGCTCTGCTTCAAAGGGGCATGGCCTATAGGAGCAGAACTGAAGGGAGTTCTCCTCCCCATCCACCTTGATGCCCTCTGATACAGGTGCATTGAGAAGCAAGGATCACGGCTGCTCCATGTCTGACTGGCCAGAACTCTCCAATGGCTTTTACACTGTGTTCGGGTTTAACCACTCAACAGCTTCCAGAATTTGGCCACTTTTCAGCCCAGTCAATCCCAAACTTACACTTCATAAAGGGAGGATCAGGTGTTAATACCCTTGCCAATACAGTAACATCTTATAATCTGTCATTATATCCCTTTCATAATGCTAAGCCCAGGAGGCAAGGCCACCTGCCTCTCTTACCTGCCTGGCTATGTTCCTGACTTTTCATACACAGATATAAGCAACCAAACCTCAGGAGGCTTTAAGTTCACCTTGAGTTCAGCAGAAGAACCACGACTAGAAGCAAAGTCAACTTCCAGGCACTGCGCTTTCTTATGCACTACTTTTTCTACCTCCCTGGGCCTCAGGTTTCCTATCTATTAAAAGAGGAAGTTAGACTAAATGGGGACTAAGGTCCTTACTTTCTCTGGGGATCTAAAATCAAACATTAGCAAGGAATGGTCATCATCTTTCTTTCTGGTAACTCTTGTAACCTCCCTCAGACGCCCAAGGACAAGTCTACTAAGCTGCCATTCTCCTCTGAGAACACGTTGGACACTGTACAAACCCACTAGATGTTGTCTGGGGCCATGGTTGGACTAAAGCCCACAGATGTACCTCCCACAACTGCTGTCAAGGTCCTAGGGGCTGGCACTGCTGCCTGCTTTGCTGACATCTTCACCTACCCATTGGACACAGCCAAAGTTCGTCTCCAGGTAGGTGGCCCCTTCAGTGAGGGCTGTCACTCAGTTTGATGGAGTGAATTGAGTTTTAAAGTACACTATGCCCTCCCAGCTCACAGACTGTCTCAGGGCTGGAATGGACCTCCAAGGCCATCTAGTCCAAACCCTGCCGAAGCAGGACTCTCCTCTATACCATCTCAGTCATGTGGTCATTTGATCTCTGACTGAAGACATCAAATGATGAGGAATTCACTCTCTCCCATGTCAGCCCATTCCACTTTGGCGCAGTTCTCATTGGTAGGAAATTTTCCTTATAGTGAACCAAAATCTGTCTCACTGCAACTTTCTTCACCCCCATTTCTCTAATTCTGCCCTCTGGACCAGGTAGAATAAGCTCATTTCCTCACCAGTAAAGTAAGAAGCTTGGACTAGATGAATGCCAAGGTCTCTTTCCACTTCTAGATTCTGTGATTCTGAGACTAATTGATATTCTACATGACAGGCCTTCGAATATGTAAAGGCACCTATCATGTCCCCCCTAAGTCACCACCAGGCTAAACCTCTCCATTTCCCTCACCTAGTCCTCATATGGGTTTGCCCTCAGTCCTTTCATCATCCTGATCACCCTTTCCCTGACTCCTCACCCCTCTCTTCTGCCCTTCAGATCCAAGGAGAATCCCAGACAGAGCAGGCAATTCAGAATGTGCGATACCGGGGAGTACTGGGTACCATCAGGACCATGGTGAAGACCGAGGGCCCCACCAGCCTCTACAATGGCCTGGTGGCTGGGCTGCAGCGCCAAATGAGCTTTGCCTCCATCCGAATTGGCCTCTATGACTCTGTCAAGCAGTTCTACACGCCCAAAGGAGCAGAAAGTGAGTGCTGGAGTCAGAGAGAAGATGAATCTTAGACCCAGGAGGCAACAGGCCAGGATAGAGGGAGGCGGCCAGTGTGAAAGGCAGAACTGTCTTGATTTCCCATGCCAGCCAATGTAACAAACATCGGTGAAGCACCTCACATGTGCAAAGACCCCTATGTTCCTTGCTAGGGATCCGATGACAAAGTGAAACATATCAAATGCCTCCTTGGGGAGCCTACATTCTGCTGGGGGGATGCACCAGGCAAACAAACTGCTTATATATGAAAACTTGAGAGGAAGGAAAATCACAGAATCTGCACAGATAGAATCTGATCACTGGCTCTAAAATCAAGATGACTCAAGGCCAAATCCCAGCTTTCTCTTACTTTCTCTTACTTAATCAAGTTTTCTGGGCCTGTTTCTTTATCCATGAAGAAAAATGCTGGGACTACTAAACTCTATTTCAATCTATAATCCTAATCTTATGATCCTAAAGTTTGAAAAAAGAGAGATTGAAAGTAGGTTCAAATTCTGTCTCCAATGCTTGTTAGTTGTCTGATCCTGACCAAGCTACTCTCCTTGAGCCTCAGTTTACACATCTGTAAAATGGGTATAATGATTCTTAGCCACTCTGCCTCATAGAGTGATTATATTTTGTAAAGAATAATGCACTATAGGGGCAGCTAGGTGGCACGGTGGATAAAACACCAGCCCTAAAATCAGGAGAACCTGAATTCAAATCCAGCATCAGGCCAAACACTTGACACTTACTAGCTGTGTGACCCTGGGCAAGTCACTTAATCACAATTGCCTTTAAAAAAAAAACCAAAAGAATGATGCAGTATAGAAATAGGACTGATTATACTAGATCAGGGATCATAAAGTTTCTGTCAGAGACCTGGCAGGATGCTGACTCACCCCTTCCCCTCTTGCTCTTCTCTTCATCTTTTGCCCCACAACAGACTCCAGCATCATCGTTCGGATCCTGGCAGGATGCACAACAGGAGCCATGGCTGTGACCTGTGCTCAACCTACCGATGTGGTGAAGTGCGTTTCCAGGCCAGTGTCCGACTAGGACCAGGAAGCAGCCAAAAATACAGCGGGACAATAGATGCCTACAGGACAATTGCCAGGGAGGAAGGGATCAGGGGCCTGTGGAAAGGTGGGTCTTGGTTCTAGAGTTCCTGGCATTGAGCAGGACTAGTGCTACCCAAAGAATCAGGACCTCCTAAGTGGGTAGAGGAGGCGGTGGATTTAAAGGGTCCTGAAAGTAACATCCCTTACCAAAACAACTATCCCCCATCATCCAGACACAGGGACCATAGTTCCCCTAATAATAAGAATGGCCATGTCTACAGTGCTCTAAGGTTTATAAAGCACTTTTCTCACAACACTCCGAGAGGTAGGTCATACAAGTATTCCCAGTTTAAAAAGGAAGAAACAGGCTCAGAGAGGTGAATCACTTGCCTCCTGTCACACTGCTAGGAAGTGTTGAAGCTAGGATTCAAACACAAGCTTTCTCATACTGAGTTCACTGCTCTTTCCTGAGGTACTGAAAACTTATATTATCTGGAAGAAGGAATATTTAGTCAACAAGGACTTATTAAGCCATTATTCTCCACAGACACCCTTATTTATTAATTTATTACCTAAATTATTTCTAATTTATTATTAATTTATTACTCAGAGACTTGAGTCAGGTCTCTGACTCAGGCCATTCTGTGACCCATGGATGAGATTCAGCTAAAGGCACTGAAGATATTTTGCCTTGAGAAAAAGCTCTGGAGGCTTAGGGAATGGTTGCTATTTTCTAACATCTGAAGGGCTATCCTAGAGTAGAAGGAGCAGATTTGTCTCTCTGGTATCAAGGGGGTAGAATTAAAGTCAGGAGGAGGAAAGCAGAAGAACTTTCAGCACAGCAGAACAGTGAGTGGCAGGTAGAAAGTTCCTTCTCCTCGAGGTCTTCACACAGAGGCTGGAGAACCGACTGCTAGGAAGATCACAGAAGGATTTCTGCACTCGAGGGGAGGTTGGACTAAGTGACTATTCAGGTCTCTTCTAGCACTAAAAACATGCTAGGACTATGATCAAGGTATAGTGGAAAGGATCGGGTGCTTGGAATACCTTTCAGGCAGCTGGGTAGCTTTGGTGTCACAAAGTCCAAAATTCAAATACTGCCTTGGTTACTTATTACTTGCGTGACCCTAAGCAAGTCACTTTGCCTCTCTTTGCCTCAGTTTCCTCAACTACAAAATGGGAATCATAATTGCATCGACTTCACAGAGTTGTTGTGAGGAGCAAATGAGATAATGTATGTAAAGTTGTAGACTTACAAGTGCTTTACAAATACCACTTGTTAATGTAATTAGAAGACCTGGATCCCAGCTCTGCCCCTATGTGACCGAAGGCAAATCCCTTCTCTCTGAATCTATTCCTCACCAGTAAAATAAGGGGGGATTGGACTGTGTGATCTCTAAGAAACTTCCAGGTCTGTCCCTCTTGTTCAAAGGTCTCTTTCAGACCCAGCAAGCTGTGTTTTCCTACAGTGAAGTCCTGTTCTATTGCTCCATTATAGTGTGTTGAGGTCAGTGGGTTCTTGAAAGATTTTCCGGTAGAACACAAACTCTGCAGCTCCTACCAAGCTGGGAAGGCTGCAGTCTAGGGGCATGCCCAAGCGGCTACAGCAAATCATGAAGCTTCTGCTAAGTGCTAGTAGAGAAGTGATGAATGACATGGGTGGAGGGAGGAGTTCCCATGCCTACAAAAATCACAGAACCTTCACATATTAAAATTAAGTTCTTTTCAGCTCTGACATACATTCTAGGGCCTATTGCAGCCTCAAGGCCTCATGTGGCCCTCTAAGTCCTCAAGTGCAGCCCTTTGACTGAATCCAAACTTCACAGAACAAAGAAGTTGGATTCAGTCAAAGGGCTGCACTTGAGGACGTAGAGGGCCACATATGGCCGAAGGTTCCCCACCCCTGTTTCTAAGCTATATATTTGGCACCTACCTCCCAGGATTCTTGGAGGCTCAAATGAAATCCGATGTATGAAGTGCTATGCAAACCTTAAAGCACTGGAGAACTGGGAGAATGTCGTTATTAGTGGTAGTAAGTGTTTCCCCCTGCACCCACCTTTTGATGCTGAATCCCTGCTTATCCTTCAAAGTTCAGCCCAAGTTCTTCCTCCTTAACGAAAGCCTCACCCAATCCTCCCAGGTGATAAACTTCCCTCGTATAGCACTTTATTTCCATTCCTCTAATGTGCTTGCCATGTAATATTACATATTAGCTAGCTAGCTAGCTAGCTATACCTAATAGGGCAGTTAGGTGGCACCATAGTACGTAGATCACTGGGCTTGGAATCAGGAAGAGACATCTTCCTGAGATCAAATCTCAGACATTTACTATCTGTGTGACCCTGAGCAAGTCATTTCACCCTGTTTGCCTCAGTTTCCTCATCTGTAAAGTGAGCTGGAGAAGGAAATGGCAAACCACTCGAGTATCTTTGCCAAGAAAACTCCATATGGGGTTACAAAATGCCAGACACAACTAAAACAACTGAACAACAACCTATATGTAAATATGTAATATATAATAACACATAATATAAACTATAATCCATATAATTATAACATGTAACATAGTGATTTGGGTTTATGTATTATATATAATGTCTCTCACCATTATCTTTCCATGAGGTGAGGGACTGAATTTTATCTGAACTTTCTATCTTTGTCTTTCTGCTCTGCTCACAACAAACACAATAGTGCTTACTGTTTTGTAAGGTCCCTCTGCTCCCAGATCAGACACCCTTTATTCTGTTCCTTTCAAGCTTTGATATTTTGGATTCTAGAATAAATAACCAAGTAGGAAAGAGAACAAACACACTTTTTAAGGATGGCCTAAAGCCTTTTTTTGTGTCCTGGACAACTTGGACAGTTTGGGTGAAACCTATGAATAGATTTCCCCCCCTTCTCAGAATAATGTTTTTACATACACAAAATGCATAGGATTGCAAAGAAAATCAATTATGGTGAAATAATTAAAATGTAATGTTTTATCCCATCCAAGTTCACAGAGTCACTGAAAGCGATCTACAAAACAACTGGGAATCTGTGAACACCACAGTAAAGTTCTGTGCGCCAAAGCACAGCCTTAAACAGTGGGATTTCTATGTGGCTATTCTTTAAAGGGCACTGGTGGGCATGAGACTGGCGGCCTAAAGTTGTGTGAGCCAAGGCTGTAGGGGCAGCTCCCCAGGCCAGGAGCCATTTTCCTATGCATGCATTTGAAGAAAGAATAGTCCCGGCCACAGCATAAGATGCAGATCCCATCATTTTTTGTTCTGGGAGCCTGCAGGAGAAGCTGCAGCATGTAAGACTGGAAATGGCAACTCCCGTTCCCATTCCCTTTCCTCATGATGGCTGGCATATCCAGGGATTTACATCTTTGCTGGGCAGTATCTTAGGGGAAGAGGCAGGACTGGAAGCCAGGGCTCCTTTGCTCACAAAGTCTCTTCTGCCCCAATCAGGCCTCCTCAGCATCTTGTTCAAGTGTAGTGGAAAGAGTCCTGGAATTTGTCCAGAGGAAGGACTCAGGCAGAAGGCTTCGCCTTTGTTGTTCCAGTTCTACCACTAATTCAATAACTTTAAGCAGGCCTCTCAGTTTCCTCATCTACAAAATAAGAGAATTAGACCAGATGGTTTATAAGACAGGGGTTCCTAATCTTTTGTGTGTCATGGATACCTTCAGCAGTCTAGATGCCTTCCCAAAAATAATATTTTTAAAAATTCATAATTAAAGGAAATGCTAAATTTCAATTAGAAATGAGTGAAAATGAATTTGTAATTTTTCCCCTTCCCAATTTTCCCCCCAAATTTCCCCAGATCTGTCCATCAGATCTGTCAATGAACTCTAGGTTACAAACTCCTCCCTGTCCTATAGTTCCTCCTATCTGACACTCTTATGCCTTAACCTTGGACACTGAGGATTTGGCTTAGATATGGGGAAAGACTTTCCAGTATCATTAACCATCTTGTTGCAGGGGGAGAGTTGGGGCATGGGCTTTAAACCCTCGTAGAATCTCATGACTATATTTGAGGTCCTAATCAAAAGCACAGGATTGGATTAAATGACTAATACCCCCTCCCCCAGTCCATCCAGAGGATTCTATTATTGTGTATTTATCGCTTGGCATTTTTGTCTCATCCCCGTACTAGACAGTGGGCTCTGTGAGGTCAGGGACCATGGCTCATCGAAGCTTGCCATTCCTCCCAGAGCCTAGCATCATGCTCTAGTAGGCAATTAATAAAGGTTTATTGAATTGAACTGAATTGAATTGGCTCCTATTCTTGCTGACCCATTCCTTTCCCTCTCTCTAACAGGAACTTTGCCCAACATCACCAGAAATGCTATTGTCAACTGTGCTGAGATGGTGACCTATGATATGATAAAGGAGTCACTGATAGACCACTGCCTGATGTCTGGTAAGGCTCTGGGCTTTTCTACAAACAATACAATTTTCATCTCCCTCACAGACCCACCTCAGACTCCTTCAGTGAACAGAGAATGGGGAAAGAAATAGACACTGCCAACAGGAGGAGTGTCAACCTCGGGGCCACTGGGACCTGCCTCAACTTTTAGAAGGAGTTGATGGCACCATGGTGGGTCCACCAGTACGTCAAACAATCCCAGCACACTGAAAAAAGATCCTGCTGTGGAAGCCACAAGTCCCGCATTCATAATCCTGGCTTTGCACTGATTTGTTCTGTGACTCTGGGCAGGTCACTTTCCCTCTTGGCCTCAGTTTCCTCTTCTACAAAATGAGAGTTGGACTAGAATCAGGGGTTCTTAACCGGGGGGGTTAGGGAGCTGTGAACTTTTAAAACATATTTTGATAACTAATGTTTTAATATAATTGGTTTCCTTTGCAATCCTGTATGTTTATTTTATATTTTTTAATTTTTATTGCATTTATCACTTTATGAGGGCTCCATAGGCTTTACCAGACTGCCAAAGGGATCCATGACACAAAAATGGTTAAATCCCCCTGGACTAGATCTCTGAGGTTCCCTGCCACTCTCACAGTCAGTGGTTCTGTGACTGTCAATATCTGCTGGGCACCTACTCCGTAAGTGCAGCCTCTACGCTCGGCACGCTAAGGTGATGGGGAAGCACGAGCCATTGGTCCTGCCTTCACTGGATCATAGAGTTGGAGTTGGAAGGAACTTTAAGGGTGATCTAGCCCAACCCTCTCATTTTACAGACTAAAAAACCCAGGCCCAGAGATGTTGGATGATTTTCCTAAGATCACACAGGCAGCTGAAACAAGTTCTCTGGCTCAAAATGCAGCATGCCTTCACTGGACCACACAGCATTCCAAAGAGTTTACAGTCTATCTGTAAAACAGAGAATACTTAAGCATTTAACTGCATAATACTCATGGAAAGACCACTGGCCCAAGACTCAGAAGACTTGGGTTGGTGTCCCTCTTTGGGGACTTCTTAGCTGTGTGACCTTGGGCAAGTCACCCTCTCTGTGCCTGTTTCCTTATCTGTGAAATAGATGATATTCTTTGAATTGTTACTTTACAGGGTTGTAAACCTTAAAATGTTATATAAATTCAAATTACTTAGTGAACACACAGTCCAAGCAATTGGAAAAAAGAGAAGAAAGGGAGAGAGAAGGCTAATTGTCAGAGTATCTGTAATAATAGCTGTCATTTATGTGGTATTTTAGAAGATCTTTTTCTGACTCCATGTCCAGAACTCTTTCTTTGCATTACACCATACTGCCTCTTAGCAGTGGCCATAGGGATAGGGCTTTATGATTTACAAAAAATTTATATCCATTTTCTCATTTAATCTATTAGAATTTAGAAAAAAAATCAATTCACACCTTCTTGTATGTGTTCTAGAAACACAAATTCTCTCTTACAATCTGAGACAGTCATGGATAAAGAGGAAAATATAAAGGACACATAGATTGAACCAACACTCAAAGGCACAGCAAAGCATTGAATTTATAGCATGTCAAATCAGGTTAAAATGCCTAATTGGAAGCATGAAAATGTGGAGACTAGCCATGAGACTTGTGCGCTTCAAATGAAATGTTTCAAATATTCTTGAGGAGCCCCCGCTATTGGTGTAGACTCTAAACCTTCCATGCTTTAGTAGATTAGCTTCTTAAGTTGCTATGAATAAGAAAATTCTTCCCCAGTGGGTTAGACCCCTAGGTGAGCCAGATCAATTCTACGCTGTCCTCTTCTCTTGAGTCCCTGGCCTTCTTATCATATTGCTGATTGAGTCCTGCCAATCCCTGGCCTTAGATCAATCCCACCATTGCCACCTTCACTCCTATACACATGCTGCTAAATGTAGGTGGGGAAAAAAATCACACAAACATTCTACTAGTTCCACTACAAATTTATGTTATACAATCTTAACTGGGTCCTCACTGCCACTAGTCAATCCTTCCACACTTCCCTTATCAACTCACTATCCCTTAACTCCTTTATTAATTCCAGTCTCCACAGTGACTCTTCCACACCTTTTCATCCCTTCTCAAACTTCCCGTGGCTTCCCCTCTCCCCACTCTCTCAACTGAGAACCCTGCTTCATAGTTTACTGAAAAAATTAAAGCCATTCCCCAAAACCGCTTTCTTCTCCCTTCTTCCTCATCTCATTTCACTCAGATGAACTCTGCCACTAACTCCTCCTTCCCCCTGTCTCACACAAACTAGTGGCTTTACTCCTTACCAAGTGCCCCAACCCTTCACCTACAAAATAGATCCCATTCTGTCCAGTCTCCTCCAACAGACTACCCTCTCTGTCATCCCCACTTTATCACTTATTTTCAGTCTCTCCCTGTCTACTGGCTCTTTCTCTAATGCCTACAAGCATGCCCATGTCTCCCCTATCCTCAAAAAACCCTCACCTGATCCTTCCATCCTAACTAACCATCTTCCTATATCTCTTCTGTCCCTTGTGGCCAAACTCCTTGAAAAGGCTACCTACAATAGGTGCCTCACTCACTACTTAACTCCTTATGAACTGGCTTCTGACCTTATCATTCCACCAAAACTCTTCTCTCCAAAGTTACCAAGAATCTGACATTCTGTTCTCTCTAGGTTTTTGAGATAGCACTTTCCTGGTTCTCCTATCTATCAGACCATTTTTCCTCAGTCTCCTTTGCTGCATCCTTATCCAGATCATATTCTCTGACTGTGGGTGTCCCACAGGGCTCTGTCCTGTCCTGGGCCCTCTTCTCTTCTCCCTCTATACTACTTCACTTGGTCATCTCATCAGCTCCCATGGATTTAATTATCATCCATATGTTGATGATTCTCAAATTGACCTATCTTGCCCTAACCTGTCTGCTTACCTCCAGTCTCCCATCTCCAATTGCTTTTCAGATATCTTAAACTGGATGTCCAGTAGACATCTTAAACTCAACATGTACAGAATTAAATTCATTATCTTTTCCCCTAAATATTCCCCTACTCTCATCTTTTCCATTATTGACATGGGCAATAACATCCTCCCAGTCCTTCAACCTTGCAACCTAGAAATAACACTAGATTCCTCACTATCTTTCACCCCTCCATATTCAATTTTTGCCAAGGCCTATTTATTTCCATCTTTGTAACATCTTTCAAATATGTCACTTCTCTCCTCTGATACTGCCAGCACCCTGGTACAGGCCCTCGTCACCTCATGCCTCTACTATTGCAATAGCCTGCTGGTGGGTCTGCCTGCCTCAGATCTCTCCCCACTCCAATCCTTCCTCCATTCTGACACCTAAGTGATTTTCCTAAAGTGTAGGTCTAACCATGTCACTCCCCTGCTCAATAAACTCCAGTGACTCTGTTATCTCTAGGATCAAATACAAAATCCTCTGTTTAGTATTCAAAGCCCTTTATAACCTAACCTCCCCTTACCTTTCCAATCATCTTACACCTTACTCTTCACCATATACTCTTCAATCCAGTGTCACTAGCTTTCTTGCTGTTCCACAAACAAGACAATCCATTTCTTGGCTCTGGTCATTTTCTCCAGCTGTTCTCATGCCTGGAAGACCTTCTTTCCTCATCTCTGCCTACTGGTTTCCCTGAAGTTCCAACTAAAATCTCATCTTCTTATTTTTCATTGATTAATTAATTAATTTTTAGTTTTCAACATTCACTTTTATAAGATTTTGAGTTCTAAAATTTCCCCCTCTCTCTCCCTTTCCCCCTCCCCAAGATGGCATGCTATACATGTGCAATCATGTTAAACATATTTCCACATCAGTTATGTCGTGAAAGAAGAATCAGAACAAAAGGGAAAAACCACATAAAATCTCATCTTCTACAGGAAAAATTTCCAAAACCCTCTTAGTTCTAATGTCTTCCTTCCTTCAATTATTTTGTATTTTTCCTGTATATAGTTTGTACATATTTGTTTGCCTGTTATCTCCCCCATTCAACTGTGAGCTCCTTGAGGGGAGGAATTGTCTTCTGCCTCTTTTTGTATCCCTAGTGCTCAGCACAGTCCTGGCAACATTACAAATACTTTAAATGTTTATTGACCAATTGACTGACCTTCAGGAAATCAGCCTGTCCTAACTAGCCCAGTGCTTGGACAATAGCCATACATAGTGAGGGTATGCCTTCCCCTCTTCCCTTCCATCCCCACTGGGTGTGGGCCTCTTAGAACTTTGCTGTTAACACTTTTGAAAACATGAGTCACTTTGATGAAAGAGGAATTAAAAGAGAGTTTGAGTGGAGGATGGGGCAAGGGAGAAAAGGAAAGGAAAGAATAAGCATTTAGAAAGCATCTACTGGTGCCAGGCATTAAGTGCTTTTTTTTTTTAACAAGTATTTCAACAACCCTGAAAGGTAAATGCTATTATTATTCCCATTTTACAGTTGAGTAAATCAAAGCAAATACAGACTAAGTGACTTGGCCAGGACCACACAGCTAGTACATATCTGAAGCTGGATTTGAACTCAGTTCTTCCTAATTCCAAACCCAATGCTGCCTCACATGGGAGTTTCAAATCCATATGAGAGAGAGAGAGAGACAGAGAAACCGAGACAGAGACAGAGATAAAGAGAGAGACAGAGACAGACAGACATACAGAGAGACGGAGAGGCTGCACACATTGAATATAGGCTACTGCATAGAGAGCAGAATGCCACATTCACATTCCTAGGAACTGTCTGAGTTCATCAGCTAGTCAAACCCACTGCTCCTAGCCTCTCATTTTGTACTTAGCCAGGATTAACTACAAGACACAATAGTGAGGTTAAAAAACTTACTTAAACAGAATGGAAGAAAAATAACGGGAATAAAACTAAGCATGGGCATTCTCCGCACTCATTTCTCCGACTCCTCCTGCCACTCTCCAGTCCCAGGACGTGCGAAGCCACTTTTCCTGGCTTCCAGAGCTCGTCGGCAGAATGTTAAGGTGCCATCAGGGCTGGCAGTGGGACGAGGTGCACTAGAGCTCTTGGCACCGGGACCAACGATAGAAACCAAGACCCCAGATTCTCATCACTCTCAGAATGGATCACAGAAACATCAGGCTAAGTGCTCACTCCTACTTCTTCTCTCTCTCCATCTGTCTCACCCTCGTCCTCCTTTTCAGACCCAGCTTCTGCATCTCTCCTCTGCTGCTTCAGTGGATACTCTAGAGATGTCGCTCACATGCAGATGAAATGTAAAGGCAGCAGGGGTTCCGGCACATGTAAACAGAACTTCCTAAGTAGCCATTTAGGTTACTACCTATAGCTTCAACACACATTTATTAAGCACCTACTGCATGTGTGGTCCTAGAAAAGTCCCTGCCCTTGTGGAACTTAAAGTCATGTGAGGGGATGCTGAGAGACACACAAATAAATTAAAGTAAAATAATTAATTCATAAGTGCCTCAGAGTATACAAATGGCTAAGAACAGTCTTTACCAAATGAGGGAATGTCCTAGAGAAGGTAGAATTTGACTTGCGCTTTAAAGGATAGATAGGAATCAACAGATAGAGGTCAAGTAGCCCATCCCAGGCACAGGGAATAGTATGAACAAAGGCACAAAAGCAGACCTACACTGGGCATGCTCAGTGGAGCACTGGCTAAAGCTGGACAAATAAGCTGGTGCCAGGGATGGATTCCTTAATAAGCCAGGTTTGTAAGTCTGAACTCTTTTCATAGGCAGTAAAGAGCCACCAAAAGATTGTTAGCAGAAGAATGGCACAGCCAAATCTATTCCGGTGGAATATTAGGGTGTCAGCACATGAAAGAAGAACAGAAATGGAAAGCCTTGTTAAAAGGCTTGGCCCTGAGGAGCAGAAAAGGAAATAGGCCCCTTCCCTCCTTCACCACAAGCGTGGCAGGCAGCACATATTGTCAGTCTTGGCTAATGTGCTGGTTAACTTTGATGAGCTGCTTTTTCCTCCTCTCTTTTTTTATTTTTTGACACAAGGGAGAAAATGAAGGTGATATATAAAGTGTGTTTAAAGGTGGCTCTCATAATAGTTCAGGTGGTAACATGGGCCCATAAAAAGCTAGTAGGACTAAGGAGAAGGTGAAATAAAAGAAGATACAAAGATATTAGGGAGGTAGAATCAAGTAGTTGGGGTAGCTGAGCAAATATGAGAGAGAGAAAGAAAGGAAGAGTCAAACATTACAGCTCTAGGAATGTGAACGTGGTGAATCAGGTATATAATAAGCCCCACAGAAATAGTGGAGCCAGAAGGAAAATTCAGTGACAACAAACAAGAGAAAATGCCTGATCTTAGGAAACCCCCTTCTTCCTGCCCATCCCACAGCTCTGGGGTCCCCTCAGGAAAGGTGAACCATTTGACAATGTGACCTTTCCCCTTTCTTTGGCAGACAACTTCCCCTGCCACTTTGTCTCAGCCTTTGCAGCCGGCTTCTGCGCCACGGTTGTGGCTTCCCCTGTGGATGTCGTGAAGACCCGATATATAAATTCTCCTCCTGGCCGCTACAGTAGCACCTTGAACTGTATGCTGAAGACTCTGAGGCAGGAAGGCCCTACAGCCTTCTACAAGGGGTGAGCTCTCCCCTCGCTCAATGCTATGGGGATCCTGGCTTCCAGCTTATACATTTGGATGGACAGGACGCTTCAGGAAGAATAGTGTGATGGAGAGAACACTGTGCTTGAAGTCAGGAAACTAGAGCTCCAGTTCTGACTTGACACTCACTAGTTCTGTCATCTTGCACCAGCCCTTTCCTCTTTCTGCGCCCCAGTTTCCTTCTCTATAAAATGATGGGGTTGATGATCACTTAGGAACATGCCAGCTTTGATACTATTTGGCTCCAAGTGGAGTCTCTGTCTTGACCTTGACCTCCCACTATGAATTAACAATAACTGGTTCTATCAGGTGGGGCTCAGGAGATCATAGGTTTTATCACTGTGCAGACCAGTTGACTTTGTCCAGTTCCATAGCCACAGACTGCATCCCTAACCACAGCATTCATCATGCACTCACACATTATTGGTCAGGAGAGGCACCAGTCAATAGAGGGTGGAAGGGTTGTAATGCTACAATGAACCCCCATCACAAGTACCAAACTGAGCACGAGTCAGCACCACCTATGTCACTGATTCACTGCGAGAAATGGGGTAAGTCCTTTGGTCTCTCTGGATATCAGCTCAGTAAAGCCCCAAAGAAGAGCCATTAGTCAGTGTCAACTTGTATGGAGCTTTCTTGTGTCAATCAGTCAATTGACAGCCATTTATTAAGTGCTTACTTTGTGCCAGGCACTGTATGCACCGGGGATTTAAAGAAAGGACAAAAACAGCCCCTATTCTCAAGAAGCTCACATTCTAATGGGAGAGACAACATGCAAATAATTAGGTGCATGGAAGATATCTACAGAGGAGATGAAAGTAATCTGAAAGGAGAAATAACATTAGCACCTGGGAGGATGGGAAAGGCCTCATGCAGAATGCTAAATATGAGCTGAGCCTTGAAGGAAGCCAAGGACACTAGGAGGCAGAAGTGAGGGGGCAGTGTATTCCAGCCCTGAGGCACAACCATTGCAAAGTACAGAGTTTGGAGATGGAGTTTTGTGCTCAAGAACTGCAAGTAGGCTAATGTAGCTAGATCATAGAGTTCATAGAAGGAAGTAAAGTACATGGAACCTGGGAAGGTAGGAAATAACCAGTTTATGAAGAGCTTTAAATGTCAAACAGAAGACTCTATGTTTGATGCTAGAGGCAACAGGGAGTGATTGAAGATCATTGAGCACGGGAGTGACATGGTCAAACCTATATGTTAGAAAATCCTCCTTGGCACCTGAGTGGAGAATGGATTGTAAAGGGAAGAGACTTGAGGAAGGCAGACAAATTAGAACATTATTGCAGTAGTTCAGGTAAGAGCTGATGAAGGCCTGAACTAGAATTGTGGCTTGCATGAAAAACTGGCATTTATAGTTGAGATGATGTAAAGGTAGAAAGGGTCAAGATTTGACAACTGGTCAGATAAGTACAGTAAGAGGGCCTGAAGAAAGAATGACACAAGATTGTAAGCCTGGGTGACTGGGAGGATAGTAATGTCCTAACAGGGTGGTTTAAAAGGGGGGAGGTTTTTGAGGGAAAGACAATGAGTTCTGTTTTAGACATGTTAAGTTTGAGATGCTTATAGGATACACAGTTTGAGATGTCCAAGAAGTAGTTGGAGATGCATGACTATAGTTCAGCAGAGACAAGGGCTACCTATATAGATCTAGGAATCATCTACATAGAGATAATAACTGAATCTAATGAGCTAATGAGATCATGAAGTGAGATAGCATAGAGGGAAAAGAGAAGGGGACCCACTAGAGAGCGTTACAGAATCCATGCTTGGTGGGCATGACATGGATAAAGAGCCAGCAAAGGAGACTGAGGAGAAAGGGTTAGACAGAAGGGAGAACCAAGAAAGAACGAAGGAGACAGTAGCCAGAGAAAAGTGACTGACAGGTGTCACACAGCTGTCCACACAGCTGTCAAACACTGCAGACACGCCAAGGAGAATCCAGAGTGAGGAAAGGTCGTTAGATTTGGCAATTAAGAGATTGCTGGTAACTTGATATTGTGGAGAGAGCAGTTTCATTTGAATGAGGTTGGAAGCCAGAGTACAAATAGGAGATGAAGTGGAAGCTGCGAGTATAGATGACTTTCTCAGGTTGGTTAGCTGAGAGAGAAAATATAGGACAATAACCAGCAGCTCAAGCAAGGATTTTTTAAGGATGGGGAGAAATGGAGTACCTCCATGATCTGTGCTGCTTACCATTTTCATCAACAATTTGGATGGAGTAATAGACGGAATGCTTATCACATTCATAGGTGACACAACACCACCAGAGATGGGTGATACAATGGATGAAAGAGGGAGGATACAAATATATTTCAATAATCTAGAAAACTGGGCTAAATAGAAAAAAAAATTGAAATATAGTCAGAATAGATAGAAGATCTAACCCTTGAGGTCACATATCCATTCAGTTGCAGAATATTTTCATTTCCACCCCCACATCATTTCTCCTAGCTGACGCCTTCTCTCTATTCTCATAAGCATTATCTTAGGCCAGGGGTGGGGAACCTGCAGCCTCAAGGCCACATGTGGCCCTCTAGGTCCTCAAGTGCAACCCTTTGATTTGAACAAATTTGTTTCTGTGAAGTTTGGATTCAGTCAAAGGGCAGCACTTGAGGACCTAGAGGGCCACATGTGGCCTCAAGGCTGCAGGTTCCCCACCCTTGCCTTAGGCCATCATCACCTCTTCCCTACATAGCCTCCTAATTCCCTGCCTCAAGTCTCTCCTCTCTACAATTCATCTTCAACACAGCTGTCAAAATTATTTTCCTAAAGTGCAAGTTTAACTATGTTACTCTCCTACTCAAAAAACTCACGTGCCTCCCTATATCCTGTAGGATAAAATAGCCCTTCATAACCTGGTCTCAACATACCTTTCGTCTTATCATACACATTACTCACCTTCTTTCACTATAAGGTCTAGCCAAGTAGGCTTCTTGCTGTTCCTCACAACCCTTCATCTCCCATCTCCGCCCCTTTGCACTGGCTACCCCACCATGCCTGGAATGCACTCCCTCCTAACTTCCATCATTTAAAAATCTCTATTTTCCTGTAAGGCTCAATCAGTTCAAGGCTTCTCTTGATTCCCCTCCCCCCACTATTGATAATATCTTCCCTATCATCTTCCACTTTTTATCTATTTGAGATTTACTTACATATGTATATTTTGTCTTCTTTTTTTACACTGAGTTCCTTGAGGGCAGGGACTATTTTTGTTTTGGTCTTATATCCTCTACCCCTAACATGGTGCCTAAACTTGCTTAATAAAAAGCAGGTGCTTAATAAAAGCTTTAAGGTTGGTCGATGTGGAAAAGTGATTAAATCTTAGTATAGGGTAAAGCACAGATCTCTGGGCCACTCCAGTAACTTTCAAACCATTAGTAACTAATCTTTAGATCCAGCCACTCAACCAGTTCTGAATCCATCTAACAATCCAATTGTTACTTCTCCATCTTGTCCATGAGGATAGCATAAGAGACTTGGTTAAATGTTTTAGTTCCATCAGGGGAAATTATATCAACAGTCATTCTTATGCCCTCTCATTTGAGAAACCATGTCCAAAAAGGAAATAAAGTTGAACTGGCATGCCCTTCCTTGATGAAGTTTCCTCTTGAAACTTCGTTGTATCACTTTCACACACTGAGGGCTGGGACTGTTTTGTTTTTAATCTTTGTACCTATTCCCAGTGTCTGGCATTGTGACCTAGACATAGCAGCGCTTAATGATTTTTTGTTGAACTGAATTGAAGCCATGTTGACTATCTGTAATCACTGATTCATTTTCTGTTTACTAACTATTCTTTTAATCATAAGTTGTAGAATTTTGCCAAGAATCAAAGTTAAGATTAATGGGCTATCGTCTTTAGACTCTATTCTCTTCCTTTCTTAGAAAGTCAGAACATTTGCCTTTCTCCAGCCATGGGATTCCTTCGCTATTCTCCAGGATGGCTCAGCAGTCATGGCTTCCAATCTTTCAGCACCCTAAGATAGTTTGTCTAGGCCTGATGATGTAAACTCACCAAGGCCAACTAGATGCTCTTTTATGATCCCCTTGCTTATCTTGGTTATCAGCTCTCTATTAGTCATCTTATTCTGTCTTTTTCAGTCCAAAAATCATCCTCCTTGACAGAGGAAAGAGAAGCCAAATAGCAGCTGAGCGACTCTACCTTCTTTTCCTTTTCAGCACATCCTCTACTCCAAACAATGTTTGCTTTACCTCTCTATTGCCCCAGTGGAGCTTTTTAAAATGCTTTTACCTGTGTTAAGCTTTCCTTGCTGGCCTTGGCTCATTCTGGTTTTACACTCATGATCTTGTAGGACCATGCCATGCTTTTCTACTCACCCATTCTCCCACGCCACCCCCCTGCTCTTGAATTCCAACTTCAGTACACATCTTTTAAGAATTCTAAGTTCCCTGGATATCTACGTCTGTTTCTTTAGACAACTATTCATAGAAATTTTTTCTCTGCATCTTCAGAATTTAATCCTTGAGACTTTCCCATCCCCCCTGGGTTAACTTCCACTATAGAATTTTAGGCAATGGGATCCCATCTCTTCTCAGAGCCCTTTAAAACCTCCTCTTCTCGAAACTGAGGATGTTTCCTAGATAGTGTCCAGCTTTTCTCTCCTCTACTATGAAGTCTAGTCTGGAATGTTCATTTCCTCCAAGGTTCTCATCATTCCTACTTCAGCACCCAGTTCTTGTTTGCTGATGAGAATCAGATATAGAATGGCAGTCCCCCCAGAGTTGGTTATTCCATCTTTTGAAGGTATAAACTTTAATTTAGGCAAGTGAGATTCAGAGAAGGTAAGTGCTCTGCTGATGGTTAAACAGCTAATAAATGAGAGAACTAATACTAGCACAGAACTTTTGACTCCAAGACCAATTCTCTTTATAGGATGCTTTCCTCTCTGGGATACAAAGATAGAAGTGACACAAACCCCTATTAAAATGTAGTAGGAGGAAGAGCAAGTACACAAATACTTATAATACATGGAAGAGTAAAAAAAAAAAGTACAAAAGAGAGGTCCAGGAAAATTGTGATGAGAAAATTGAGGAGAGGAGGAATCAGTGCCATGTCCTGACCAGCCAAAAGCATAATACAAGACTTTCTTAGGAACTTTAGAGATATCTGAAGATACAGTTGTTGTCTTCTGATATTTAAAGGACTTAGATGGAAAAGAAGGAACATGTGACTCCAAAGGCATGAACTAGGACCAGCAGAGGGAAGTGACCAGAAGGAAGATTTTTTGATTCAATATAAAAGAACTTTCTAAGTATTTGCATTATCTCACTTAGAAAAACAGGTTCTAGAAGTGAGGTTCCAGGCAATGGATGCATTCACAGATAGGATAGATCACGCTCATCAAGAAGACTGCAAAGGGGATTTCTACATTGAGAATTCTACATTTCTATATTGGGTCAGGCTAGTTGCTCTCTAAGGGTACTTCCAACTCTGAAAGTCTATGCTTAAATACACAAGACTGGAAGAATCCTAGACATTTTTACCAACTTATAATAGTTGTTCAGAAGAACACAAGAACGATCAGTTGTTCAATCAACAGACATGTTTAAAGTGTCTGCTTTATGCAATGTCTTGTGCTATCATCCAGCCCCATTTGACTCAAATGTCTGCTTATTCTTTTCACTCTAGATTCACTCCTTCCTTTCTTCGTTTGGGATCTTGGAATGTGATGATGTTTGTGACATATGAACAATTGAAACGGGCCCTGATGAAACTCCAGATGTCCTGGGAATCTTCATTGTAACCCAAAAGAGAAGATTATTGGAATATGGAAAACATAAGACTGATTATGTAAATATATACGTATATATGAAGACAGAGAGAGACAGAGAGAGAGAGAGAGAGAGAGAGAGAGATAAATATTTATGTTTGCTTGCTGCCAGACCTTAAGAAATACCCTTTCACAGATTGAAACTTGAAAAAATGGAAGAAGAAAAGGTAGATAAGAAGGAAGTTTCCTACCTTGGATACTCTGTCTTAGGAACAGCCTTGTCATACATTGACAAGATAAAATCATAAATTATATTAATTTTTTGAAAAATATCAAGGTTGATGCCTAATATTTAGGCAAGAGAAGATAAGGTCAAGCAGACCTACTTGGGAAAATCAAAAGGTATGGTGGATGTATCCTGGACATTGGTTTAGAAAATTAATTGAGAGCAGTTCAAGAGACTTTAAGCAAAGAAAGAGATGAATAGGTATTTAAGTTTCTACTCACTGGGGAATCTAGGATATAGGTGGCAATTTATCAAAATCACAGAAGCTCAGTGCTGGAAGGAATGTCAAATCACATCTAATCCAACCTGTATCTGAACAGCAATCCCCTCAATAAAGTCCTGGACAAGTTGTACATTGTTTGTCTTTCATCATGGTTCATCATCCACAAGCTTTATTGAACACCCAGGGCGTACTGTGCACTAGGCTCTAGAGATGGAATCTAAACAGAATTCTAGAAAACTGGGATCTTCCTAGCCCAAAGAAGCAATGCTGTGTATTAGCCCTTAGCAAAAGGCTATGGATTTAGGACTAAAGTTCTTCTCCAGTGCTGTGAGAGTAAAGAGAACTCCTGGCTCTTGATGGCTAGCAGGTCCTACCCAACAGAAAAAGTTTCAGTCACAAGCCTGATAATAAACTGCATATCTATCATCCAATAACTAGCCTAGCTAAGGGCAAAGAGGTTCACATCACCGCAACACTAGCTTCCAGAAAGATCTCTTCAGCCAAAGCAATTCATGAAGACAGTTTACTAATCTATGACAAGGTTGGGATATGGCTCAGTAGGCACACACAAATGGGAACACAGCATGTTGAATAAGAATGATAGGGCTATGTTGAGGTGCTTAGTAAAATTTGATGATGATGAGGATGATGATGATTGAAGGAGGAGGTAGAAATAGAGGAGAAAGAGAAGAATTCAGTCGATTGTGTCACTGAAGGTACTGTTTTCAAAGTAAGGAGTAAAGATGGTAGAGTGAAAAAAGTGTTGGACCTGGAGTCAGGGGAGTCCTGAGTCAAATCTAGTTTCTGGCACTATCTACAGACAAGTGAGTTTAGATCTCTCAGATTCAGCTTCTTTAATTGTAAAATGAGGATAATACATATAGTACCTACTTCACAGGATTGTTGTATGGAAAGTGTATAGAAAAGTTTAAAGTTCTAAAGAAGCGGAAATTTTTATTATTGTAGAGGAAATGTTCCATTCACCCTGAGGTTGATGAGACAGGAAGCAGACAGTCATAGCATATCTATGCCTGCTGTGAAGTGGAGAACAAGGCCATCTGTTAGGAATGTCTAGAAGCTGGCTCATCAAACAGCCATGGGATAGGGAGACTGCATGATGCTGTGCACTATGTGCTTCTAGGACTGGCCAGTCCTCTGTTTCAGGGGTAGACTAGAGCTTTGTCACTTGAAGTCACAGAGATCAGGTACCAGGTCCTAGCTGTAACACTTATTAGCTTTAGGATCTTGAGTGAATTACTTTCCCTCTCTGGACCTCAGTTTCATCATCTATGAAATGAGTGGGTTGGACTAGATAATCTCTAAGGTCCTTTCCAGGCTCTAACAATTAATGGGAAGGTGAGGACTGATTTTAGCTTTGTATTCCCAGTGTGTAGCTTACTGCCTTGCATATTAAAGATGCTTAATTGAACTAAGAGAAGACTGTGTCAACCCATAGCATAACCTTGCATTCCGCTTAGCCCCAGAGGGCATAATTAAAGCTAAAGAAGGGCAAATTATAGTGAGATCAATTTTAGCTCAATATAAGGAAGAACTTCCAATAAATAGAGTTGTCTAAATGGACTGCCTCTAGAGGTAGTGAATGCCATGTTAGTGAGGCTATTCAAGGAAAGGCTGGAGAAGAACTTGCTAGAGATGTAAAGAGTTTTCATCAGTCCGGCAGATGAGCTCTGAGGTCTCTTCCAATTCTGAAGTTTTATGATTCTGTGACAATTCCTGTTTAATCTTCTTGCATCAGGTTAGATAGGGTCATGGACTAAAATGAAGACCATATCAGCTTCTTTTTTCTGGGCCTTGGTTTTCTTCCTTTAAGAAAGAGAAGATTTAATCCTATAGGTTCCTTCCAGCTCTAAAATTCTATGATAGTAAAACAACTGGAAGACTTCAAGCCCATTTCATTTCTTTGCTCCTCAAAGGAAAGGTAGAGATAAGAAAAAGACTGGAAGACACTTCAAGATGGTGCTCGGAAGAGGTTTTCCCTGTGTTAAACATTTAGAGGGTTGCCATACTTTCTAGTTTTGGTAGCATTCTCACCTTTTGCTTCTCTCTCTCTCTCTCTCTGTTCTCAGATTTTTGTCCTTGAACAAAAGCAGCAATTCTTTCATCAACAACACATCCCCAAACCAAAGAGGGAAGAAGAAAAAAAGTAGATTTGAGATCTTCCAAATACTCAAATTGACTAATCTAAGCAAAGATAGATTTTTATTATTTCTGCTAGACTTTTTGAATTATTGGGTATCTAGAATGTTCCAAATTTATGGCAAAATTAGACAACCCATTTTTCTTCTGACAAGATTAAGATTGATTTGGTAAACTGATATTGCAAATTAAAACCTCTGGTGTTAGCATTTAAGTTCCTAGAAGGACATGTTTTAAATGGATTTTAAATGGATAACTTGACCAAAAAACACTATTTCTATCCACTGGGGAACTTAAGGCTTGAAATGCATAGACTAAAACCAACACCAAGAGGTGCTGGTAGGAAATATTCCAATAATTCACAAATCTGTCATTTCCTGGTGGTACATGCTCCCTCCACTGATACAGACTGCAACCTCTCCACACCTTAGTAGATGATGTTCACAAGTTTTTACAGACAAAAAGAATTTATCTTCTGATCACCAAGCCTGAAGTGATACCTAAAAATAGCAATTTTGGCACCCAGGGCAACCAGCAGGAAATATACCCTCAAAGATATTTTGTAATTCATGATATAGAAAAATAATAGATGTAATTAAGACAACTTCAGAGTGAAAATTATAGTAGCTCAAAGACGGATATTGTTAACAATGATACCTTTCTGGTAGCTTCCTATTTTAACTAGTTTTTCTTGCTAACTAAATGCTAAGATTAGTCCTTTCTATGCTGCAAAAGAGATATGTGCTCTTAAAATGTAAATGTGATAAAATTTAAATTGTACAATCTTTTAAAATAATCATCACTTTAATTGGCTTGACCTCTAAATGTCAGTGCCCTGAGGCGACAATCCAAATTTAGCAACATTGATCCTCAAATAACACACACACAGAGTGTATTACTAGGCTTATATGCAATCTTTCCAATTTGATGGGCCCAGTCATAGTTTTCACTTGAAGCCTTTGAGGTACCATGATTAAGTGGAGGAAGACGTCAATAGAGAGGAAGGCAACAAGTATTCCCAGAAAAAAAAAAAGGATGGGGGAATATTCTGTACAAAATAGAAAAAATTGAGCCTATTTCATATAGTATAATTATTGTACATACAAAGCATATATCAATGGCATCAAGGTCAGCTACTGCACTGATGGTAACTTCTTCAACTTGAAAAGGCTACAAGCCAAGACCAAAGTGGGGGGAGTGTTGGTGCATGATTTTCTGTTTGCAGATGATTGTGCACTCAATGCAGCCACTGAAGCTAAGATGCAACAAAGTATGGATCAAATTTTGGCCTCAGTTGTATCATTTGGAAAATGAGGGGGTTACACCGCTTGATCTCTGAGGTCTAGTTCAGCTCTAAATCTATGATCCTATGACTTATCATTTTAGTTGGAAGTCTCTGTGGAAGAAAACTATTGATGTTATACTTTGCATTTTAAACACAATATTTATTAAACATTTAACATTTAATATTTAACATTATTTTAAATCTAAGCACCTCTAGTTTGGAAAGAAAAAGTCCAAACTCAAATAATACCTCCATGTTCCTGGATATCCCTTTACCCCAAGGCAATCTGAAGTTACATTTATGGGAATCTTGAACAAGGAAAAAGTTACAATATGATCAAATGCAAATTTGGGTCAACATTCTAGAAGGATAGTCATTTAATCTCCAACTAGAACTATTCCTTTTTACCACTCCTTTAAACAAAGCAGTTCCTTCCCATGATCCATGCCCTAATCTTTTTAATGGAAAAGATTTAATGGAAAATGCTGTTAGTTGAGTCATACTGCCAACCTTTTCACCAGATAGGGATCTCAATACACAACTTTGTTGTTAAGTTTGGTTACTACCATTAATCCATTTTCCTGAGACCTTAGTTTTTTGTTCTTGACCTTCTATTCACTTTCCTAATGGGAGAAGTTCAAAAAGACTTTGTCTGGAGAAATTTTTTTATATTTTCATAGAAACTTAAAAAGGAAGTTTTTAATATGCTTCCACTACTCTCAGGATACTGGGCCCCTCTTTCTTATATCAGTAAACACTTTCCAGACCTAGTGGGGATTCATTCTGCTCATATATAAGCAGTAACAGAAGACCTTTCCAGTGCCAAGTTTCCCAGAGCAAACCTTTATTTTTTCTTGTAATATTCAAGTAATTCAGGCAGGAGTGAATTTGTTTCTGGCTTAGCCTGAATTATCCATATCCAAATGATTAACTTCAATTCTTTAGCAGAGCCTCTGCTTTATAGGAAAACTCAAAGAAAATATATATTTTTTACAAAACAACATTTACTGGAAAGGAATGAATGTGAAGTGTAAAAGTCAATGCTACCTCTATGTATGTGCTATATGCCAGACATAAGATATTATTTATATTTTTTGAAATTTTTATTTAAGGGGGGCGGAGCCAAGATGTCAGAGTGAAAGCAGTGACTTGCTTGAGCTCTTCTCCAAACCCCTCCAAATACTCATAAAAAATGGCTCTAAACAAATTCTGAAGCAGCAGAACCCACAAAAAGACAGAGTGAAACAAATTTCCAGCCCAAGACAACCTGGATGATTGATCAGAAAGGTGTATTGTGCCAGGCTGGGAGCACAGCGCAGCGCGGTGTGGGCGCACAGGCTGCAGCAAACCTGGAGCAGGCCTCAGAGGACTGAATCGTGGGCAGCTGTGGAGGTTTCCAGACTCCTCAATCCACCAATGCCAAAGACAACTTAGAAGGTCAGTGGGAAAATCTGTTTCTTCAGTGCTGAGACAGGAAGGCGGGGTTTTAGCTCCATTCCCCAAAAGCGTGGCCGTAGGCGGGGCAGCTGCTTCCTGAGCTTCTGGCCCATAGACTGAGGGGGAATCCAGTGGCTGATCAGAGAGGGATTGCAGGGATCTCTTTGCCAGTGCTAAGGCAGGAATCTCTTGCTTTGCCTGTGTTTGGATCTGGGTCACAGTTCTAGGTGGTCCT